AAAAAGGTCGATTGCCAAAGCTTTACCTCTTCACAGGACAGTATCTGTCAAAATACACTAATTTTTCCACTCTCCGGTGCTGCACGCTTGCACATAAACAAAATGTCAAGCTGGTCATTGTTGTTGCTATGGTTTTTTGAGTTGTTTCACCGATGAATTCCTAACATGTTAATGACTACGATTTTTTCCAGTTTTTTTTTTTTTCTGAGTGATCTTGGAGCTGACTGCAACCGTTGTCTCGACTCCAAGGGGTTGCTATAACATTCTGGTGAAAGGTGCGAAAAAAAAAAGCAGTACGAGATGAAGCAAGATATTGGAGCACAATTTGTTTCGTAAAACGGGACCTTATAAACGTCGTATTCAGTGATAACGCTGTCAAAAGTTGTATACAAATCATTTAGCATATCTACAACCTGAAAAATGCTTGAGTAGTAGTTTGAAGAAGGATTTCAGATGAATTTACTTATCAAACGCAGCTTAAAACACGGGAACCTGTAATGGTGTGCACTGCGCACAGATGGACGTGAACGATACAACATCCGAATAGAAGATAGTGACAGAGTCGAATGCTTCTGGCTCCACCGGCTCCTCGTTCTTCAGGTTGTCAGCAATTTCTCTAAATTAAAATTCCGTTTTTTTACAAATTTCTAATGGACCTGTCAATTCAACTGAATAGCATAGAAAGGGATCAACAGGGTAGGGAGTAAGCTGATATGATTTCAGAAAGCGTTTACGGCTGAGCCCCTTGCGCCTGGCCTTACCGTATTTTAGTAGTTTGTGGAATGTTTTCGTTTTTATGCTTCACAATTACGAGACAGGCATATTGCCTCGGCCAGTCTTAAATTCGCTACCAGTGGCAGTTACAGGGTAAATGAATTGCAACAAATACTACGAGTTCTCAACCTGTCCCAGTGGTTTTTCGATCCATTCATAGGATGATAATACCCAGCCGCAGACAAAGATTACAGAACTGCTAAGTTGTGCTGGCATAACACTAGGCGATAAGGTCAAATTCCTGACGCTTCCAGCACTAAAACATAGGACGGTGTGGAAGTTGTTTCAACACCCATGGCTCCGTTTAGGGTTAGGGAGGACATAACTCAAATTTCAGCTTCAAAGCCAGTTCTGGCACTGAACGATAATAACAAGGTAAACTTACGCGCATATAGACCTATATATATTTAGGTATGTTTTCGCCAAAATGCATTTTTACTATCTACGAAAAAAAAAAAAAATGAGCTGAAGCCATCGAGATAAAGCGAAATCTGCGTGTAGCGCGAATGATAAAGTTGCAGGCTGGATAAGATGATAAGATACTGGCATACAATTAGAAATAGCAGAAGCGAATGCTCCTTTGCTACTGTTTAAAGTTTTTCGCCTCTTTTGTGCAATAGCATGGAATGAGTTTTAGGTTTAATGTGATGTTGTGTACGCCAAATAAGACTCACTTTGTATATCGGACACAAAACTTGGATCTGAGGTCATTGAACAGCTTGGAGAATGAGGCGTGAATTGATTTCAGGCTAATTTGTATTTTATGTCTTATATGAGAATTGTAATTTTATATGGGTTTCCAAATCATAAAATTTGCTAAATTCAGTCCAAAATCTGAGACGGGGATTGAGAAGGACCTTGAAGTTGATTTCAATTTTTTGACCTTGTTATTATTGGAATACTATTCTCAAAATTTCAAGCTAGAAACCTTTTTTTGAAACTCAGGACTGCGATGAAAGTTTGCGAACTGGGGCATGGCTGCCTGAAAATTATTTCAGCTTCAAGGCCTCTTGAACGGCCCACAACTTTGTTTAGAAAAGTTGAACTTCCTAAGTTCCATACTTCCGGTGTTGAGATATTTGATCAGAGCGCAAGGACACAGCTCAAATTCACAGGGTTTTGCGCTACATTAAGAAGAAACATTTTTGCATTTCTGGTTGGTGTTGTTATGATTTTATAAATAATTCCGACGCTATGACAACATTAATGTATTCTTTTCTTACTGATGTAACAAAATTTGTTCTTTTATAGAGTTGTCTAAGTATTCATTTCCCGAAGTTGTGCTATCTTACGCAAGCACACATTTCACAGTTTATGTATGAAACACTGAAAATGTATTTTGTCTGAATGACTTCGGTAATAGACGATCCAGCAACATGTCGGTGTGCTTCTTTTCCTCCAGTAACTCTTTCGATCGCTCTTCCACTATTCGTTCCAATTTATCAGCTTGTTCTTCCAGCAGTGTAAACACATGATCCATTAAATCACTTCTGCAATCCAGCACAACATCTAATTTTTCCCAAAAATAGCACATTCAGAGCAAATGCTTTAGCAGAGCAGACTTCAATTTAATACCTGAATTTATACAGTATCGTAGGAAATCTATATTTTCCGAGTGAAAGAGAGATCTTTTAAACCTAATATTTGCACGAGAAATAGAAGTCTTTCTTTTTATCACCTTCCCGTTTATTCGGCGCTAGAATTTAGTCCTTCCTGCCTTTACTTCTCTCCCACTTTTCTCTCTCCACCCTATGAAGCGGTTTAGGGTCGAAGAGCTTTGAGTAACCGTACCTAGATGCCTGGTATGTGGGAACATCTTAGAAAGATCACTAGTATGTCCGCGGCTATTGTCCGGAGTTCTTGGGAAAAACTTTTTTTATCACTACACTGCGATTTAGTGCCTTTCAGCAAAATTTAAGCTTCCCGGAGCGGAGTTTTTCTCTAACAACTGCTGAACTTGTGTCGAATCACAGGAGTGGTGCGAAAGCAGACGACGGCAAATCGAAGACCAAACTGTTGCGTTCAAAAACTTACGCGCCCTTACGCATTGACTGCAAAAGAGACAAAATTGTTGTTGTTGTGGGGCGTTTTTTCAGTTCTTCTGACCAGCAGTCCTTG